CGCTCTTCGCCTGGCGGGGCCGGGATGGGAGGAGAGGGAGGGTGGCCCCTGGAGAAGCGCGGAGGAGGGCTCCGTCGAGCCTCCCGCTTGCAAGGCAGTCTATCTCGGGAGCCCCCTTGGCGCGGCCAGAGACGCTGCTGGCCTGCGGCAGAGGCCGGGCTAGCGCAGGTTGGCCTCCTCGGCCCGGCTGGTCCCTAAAGCGGAGCAAGGCGCCTGGAAGGGCAAGATACATGGCTTGAGACTGGAGTGGAAACGGTTGACTGTGGTTTCTTAAAAGACTCCTACCCCCACCGCCTCCCGGAGAGGAAGAGGTGCTGGCCGGGTGTTCAGCCTGACCTGCCAGAAGAATTTGGCCTATGGGGCACCTTGGTTTCCTGAGAGGGGGGGCGTAGGGGGAGGCTTGCCTGGGTGTTTTTTTCCCCCTGCCTCAGGCAGCAAAATGTGTTGGGACGGCCCTGGATCCAGTGCTGCCCCTCTGGTGCTTTGAACAGTGAATGCCTGGAGAGGGCTTTGAGGGGCATCGCAGGTGCCCACGGGCTGGGCTGGGCTCCTGAGAGGGTGGAAGGTTCCCAGTATGGCACTGGCCGGCCCTGCCGTTTGCCAGGGTGAAGCAGGTGGCTGCGTTGGAAGATCTCGATGCTTTCCTTCTTTGTTGCCCGGGGATGGAGAGAGAGGGACGTAGGTGGCACTGTCACCTCTGTGCCCAAATAATTCGGCTGGTTTTCGTGGCACTGTGACTTTTTTTCTTGGGGGGGGGTAGCTCCTCGGCAGCCTCAGGCAGTAAAATTTCTTGGTTCTTGATGCACCGGTCCCGGGTCCTCCTCTCTGTGGCTGCCAACAAAGGGGTTCAGCCCAGGTGGTGTCGCCGGAGAAGGAGGCGGCCCCTCTTGACCGGGTGCTCCTCCGCAGGTCTGGTGTGTGTGTGAGAGAGATGGGATGTTCCTGGCTTGGAGACACACTCGTGTGACCTGTTTGTTGTGGGCCTCCTGGAACCTTCTTCCTGAGTCGCTGTTGCTGCTCTTCCCCGGATGGGAGTGAATAACGCAGGCGTAGAAGAGCCCCTTTACTGCTCGCCGGGAGAGCTGGGATGTGCCCAGAGGTTGGCCTTGGTCTCCCTTTGAGCAGCTGCTGCACTCTCTGGGGCAGAGCAGGCTTGGCCGTGGCAAGGAGGGTGCCCTGAAGGGGAGAAAGCAGCTGGGAAAAATTCCTGGCCAAATTCTTGTGGTTTGGTAACCTACCCATGTTGTGCATCTTAGCTGCCCACAGGAAAGCATGGCATGGCAGCAACTCGTTCTGTCCTTAGGATCTGGGTGCGAAATGTCCTTTCCCTTCTCTTCCCTCCTCTCTGCCAGGCCCTCCTCGGATCTTCCCTCTTTCCTTGTCTTGTCTCTGAGTTAGGAAGCCCCCCAGTGGGATGGGCTGCCGGCAGGCCAAACGTCTCATCCCCTTGATGGAAGGGCCGGCCTCTGCCAAGCTGGGAGCCGCTCTGTCTCCTCTTTTGACTAAGACCTGTTGATTGATGGGTTGCTTTTTATTATTATTATTTGGGTCTCCCTGGTGCTTTTTCAGTGTCTCCTAAGTTGGACGCGTCGGTGTTACTGCAGGCAATACGTAGATTCCAAAGAGCTGGTCGTGAATCACAGAATCATAGGGTTAGAAGGGTCCTTCTCCAAAAAGGATCACCTAGGAATCCCCCCTTGCCAACGCACGAACCCAGCCCTCAAACATCTCTTAAGGATGGTCATGGAACCTCTTTTTAAAATTCCCCAGCAAAAGAGCACCCCCCATTCGCTCGGGCAGCCCATTTTCCTGTCTGACATCTCTCCCCATCAGGACGCTTTCCCTAAAGTTCGTAGGAGGGAAGGAAGAATCATTGGGGACTCTAGTAACTGTGGGTCAATCCCCACCCACTCCCACCAGACCCTGAATCCTTTAGGAGTTTTCTGTTTAGGGAAAAAGGAATAAAATATAGGAAAGGGCGGAGGAGGTATGCGAACTACGAATTTGTGACCTTCTCGAAGGGTGGATTTGCAGTTCATCACAGAGTGTCTCCCCGCTTGGTGCCATCTTGTCTGGGGGGGGTGCCCAGGCTGGGCGTCATGGTAGCGGCACATGATGTACATGAATAGTGCCCATGGAAACTGGCGGCCGGCTGGAGCACCCGCTCGTGGGATTAATGAGAGAGAGAGAGAGTTGCCTGCAGTCAGCTCAGGAGCTCACCCGAAGCACTTCGGTACGGTCTGAAATAATTTGCAAACCAGGGAAGGGGTGTGCGGTGCCTGGAAGCATTAGCAGAGGGGGGCTTTTAGGTCCTCATTTCCCTGCCATGGTCACATCATTTTATGGGGCGCCGCAGCGGCCTTTCCTTTGTGACCTTTCCCGACTCTCTCTCTCTCTCTCTCCCTGCTTCTGCCATTTCCCTCCCCCTTTCTTTCAACAACAACATCGGCTAAGAAGGAGAAGACAGCATGGCTGCAGGCTTGAGTTTCAGCCGGGGAGCCGTGCCTTGGGGAGCCCTCGGGTTGATTTAACTCAGGGGCAAGGAAAAAGGGTCAGCGCCCCAAAACGAAGGGGAAATGAAAGTACCGTGGCATCTTTTAAGAGAGTCACATTTATTGCAGTGTGAGATGTTGTGGGTGGCTTTTTTCAGACCTGTGGTGTGAAATGTCTGGATACATAGAGCAAAACATGCACCGTGTAGGCAACAGTTTGCTTTGTTTGTCTGAACCCTGTGTTTGTGTTTGATTTTGCCCTGTTTTTGTTATTGCTGAAACCGGTCGACATGGTTCCCTTTGTAGCTTATACTTTTTCCTCCTTGGTCCATGCTTCTAGTCCCTGTGCTGCAAAGGAAATTAAGCACAGAGTTTTCTACGGGGAGCCCCAGAAGATCTGGGATCAGAAGCTGCCTTGTACACCGATGGGTTGTCTAGTGATGGGTCATCATGATCCAAGACAGCACGATCAAGCAAGTCGGGTTGCAGGGGCTGCTGATGAGGAGACAAAGGATCGTGCCCGCAAGAGACAGAAAGCAAAATCAAAGCAGAAAAAAAAGAAGACGCAGCACCTTAATGACTAACGGCTATCTTTTAATGTCAGCTTTCGTGGAACACTGTCCACTTCTTCGGACATCAGAATCATGTGGCCTTTTAAATCTTTTGTGGGCTTTTGCTTTGTCATCAGAGGCACGAAGCGTTACCCCAATGGGCCAACGAAGGGGACGATGTCCATCCTCCGTGTTTTGGACTCGAAACGTGCAATCGATGTGTGGGTCTCGGAAGGGCGTCCACCTGACCGGGTGGTTGTTGTGCCGCTCCAGGAAACTTCAGGGGATCCTCAGGCCGCCCCGAAACGCAAGCAAGGGGGACAGGTTTTCACTCCCACTTTTGAAACGTACACTTTTGGAGTGTTCAAGGGTGCCGGGCCCTATTTTAAAAGGGGAGACGTGACTCCCAGAGGCTTTGGGGAACCGTAGTTTTGGACAGAAGAAGAGTCGCCCAGGGAGAGCTGGTGGCCCCCAAATTGCCTTCGTGGCTCCGAAGCTGAATTTCACCCCACCCCTGAAGTTTTTCCCCCCACTGTTCTCTCTCTCTGTGTGTCATTTCTTCAATCACCTTGGATAGCTCTGGGTCATCACCGTGATAGCTGCATAATTGAAAAGTGTTTATTCTGTAGTTATTCTTGGCCGCTGCCTGTGGCACAAAATGAGCAGGTTGGAATCGACCTCAGGAGCCAAGAGTTTGGGCTTGGTTTGGTTTCTAAGCCATGGAGGGGTGTGTGTCTGTGTCTGTGTGTGTGTGTGTCGATTCAGGCACAGAGCTGGCCAGTTTCATAGGGAAAGCCCCCGGCTGAATATATACGGGGGGACGCTTCGGCTAAGGTGGGGAACCACAGACAAGACCCTCAACTGCACGTTGCATCAAACTAAACTGCCCATCTTCCCTGAATGGTCCCATGGATTGGGGACGGTGGGCCCCAAGGCCTCTGGGGATGAGAGGATGGAGATGATCAACCTCCTCTCCAGATCTGAGTGAGGGAAAGAAAGCTCCCTTCATCTCCGTGTCACTCGTGTCGTTGGCTTCTAAAGATCAAAATATACACAAAATGCAGGTGCCGAAAGACTCCCTGGATTGTGAAGAAAGACACAGAGAACCCATTCAGTGCTTCAGCTTCTTAAATAAAGCAGTGCCCCGTCCTAACCTGGGCACGATGTGTGCGGTGGCACACAATTTTTGCTCGTGACGTGGGAAGATTGACCTCCCCAGGTCATCGTTCCCTCGATGCAGAGCTGCTCCAACATGCTTTGTGATTGTAAACTTTGGGAAGGAGCTGCCCGGGTCTGAAACACTCCGAAATCCGCTCACTTTAAAGTAGCCTGGTGAAGGTGAGGGGGGGGGAGGGAAAAAATGACTCAGAACAAAAAGACGGCTAGAAATCTAGGATGAGAGATTAAGAGGGATAGAGCCGGTTTAAGAAGATTAAAAAGAATGTCTGTGGTCTTTTTGGTGTAACGCAACACCCTGCCTCTATTTCCCTTCATGCTCCAGCTTCTGACCCTGTTCCTTCCTCTACGGGTTCACCTGCTCAAAAATTCCCTGCCCCTTAAAAAAAATATCTGCCCGTTCTCCCTTGCTCACCTGACATAATCTCTGCTTCCTTCATCAGATCCTCCCTTTAAATTGTCTCACCTTGTATTTTGGTCCACAACTGTCCTTCGCCTCGTTCCATCATTCCTGGCAGATCCATATCTAGGAATGATGGGTCCTGTAGTCACAAATGTCTAGAAGAAGGCACCATCCTGGCTGGGGGGGGGGCGACAGCTGTGCCAAGCCCACCTCTTAGAGAAAGCCTTCAGGGATTCTCCACCCATCCTTGATTTGCTTCCTTCCCTTGGCATTGAAACATGGATGCGAAATATGTCCTGGAGAGACTTCGCTCCTTGAGGAAGGGGCATCGAGTTGGTTTTACAGTTCAGATTTCATTTTGGTCATGTCAAATTTAATGCAAACGATGACGAGGTTCATAAGATTGGTGGCGCTGTGGACAGAGCCACTGATGCATGGCACAGAAACATTACGTTTGCCTGTGGATTTTGGGAGTTTTTGCCCAAGAAAGCACCATGATATAAATGGTTTCCTTTTTTTTCTTTGAAATCACCGATACAGAAGTAGGAATCATTCTGTTGGGGAAATACAGTCCCACGTGCAGAGAAATGAAATGGTCTTAGGGTAGGAAAAGAGTTTGGATGTGATTTAATTTTCAAAATACTTTTCTACTTCACCCGTCAGGCCAAAGGGCACCCAGAGCCACCGGATACGAGATGTTATAACAGGCCAGAAATTCCACGCTTGCAATGAAAAGAAGCAACACAGAAGGAAAAAGGGAAGGGAGGGGTTGAAGATGGGGCAGAGCCCCCCACACTCCTGCCCCATCTTGGCTTCTGGCAGGTGGCATGGTGTCTGCCAGGTAACCACAGAGGGAGAAAAGAGCAGGAACAGAGAATGTGCCTTTGGTCCTGGGGGAAGGAGTCCTCAAAAATCTATTTATTTATGTATTCATTTAAAATATTTTTACCCCACCTTTCTCCGTGAAAAAGGACCCAAGGCAGGTTACCACAACAGTATTTAAAACTGAAAGTAATGAGTGTTCAACGGTGGTTAACATCATTAAAAGACCATATTTAAAACTACGGACAATGAATAAAGAGGGGTCTTACATCATAAGTAGGCAATATTAAAGGAAAGATCAATACCATTTTTTAAAAACACATTTTTTTTCCTCTCTGGAGGAGCAGGTCTTTTCAGCCAAGTTGATGGGTTGGGTTTGAGCTCCCCCCCTTCTCCCTCGGCTAGGATGGGATTTAGGAAGGCGGTTTCACGCAACATTCCTGGGTCGAGCCATGCAGCCTCTTGACGACGCTTTGGATCCGTCCTGCGCATGGCGAAGCAGAAAAGCAGATTTGATGGAGAGCAGAAGGCCTTTCCGAGGGTTCTCGGGCTGTCGACCATGCAGTGCGCTCTAGTCTAGATGGATGGCACACCTTTTTATTGATTCCAAAGCTCACAGGTGGGCAGAGGAAGGAGGAGAAGAGAATTTTTTACAGCTTCCAGCCTCAGCGGTGAGCTGGTTTGGACCAGGGAACGGCCCTGGATGTGGGCTACAAGTTTATCCGGGAGGCTCCCTCTCATCCACGGAGCCTGACTCCCGGACCTTGCCATGTGGGAGATGAATGGAAAGACACTGTGGCTCAAGGTAGCATCTCATCTGGTACCATGATGACTGGCTTGTGTCATTGCTGGAAGACATGACAATGCCATTGTTAGGCATTGTCAGGTTTCGTGGCCGTTGTTGGTTTTTATCTTGCTCTCCGCTTCTTATTTTCTGGGATCGTTTTTGTCCATTTCTGCCAGGTCTTTGGTGAAGCCAGAAGGATCAGACGAGACCGAATCTCCCTCTGGCATTCATAAATACTTTTTAAAAATTCACTAGCTACGTAAATAGTCAAATACAGTGGTGCCTCGCTAGACAGTTACCCCGCATGACAGTTTTTTTTGCTAGACATTGACTTTTTGCGATCGCTATAGTGATTTGCAAAACAGTGATTCCTATGGCGGAATTTCCCTGGACAATGTTTGGTCCCTGCTTCGCAAACCGATTTTCGCTAGACGACGATTTTGACAGCTCCCTCTGCACTTGCAAAACGGGTGTTTTTGGGACCTAAGCTTCGCAAGACAGCAATTTAAACAGCTGATTGATGGTTCGCAAAGCGGCTTTCCTGTGGCCGATCTTCGCTAGACAACGATGATTCTTCCCCATTGGAATGCATTAAACAGGTTTCAATGCATTCTAATGGAGAAATGCTTTTCGCTAGACAATGATTTCGCTAAACAGCAATTTCAGTGGAACGGATTATCATTGTCTATCGAGGCACCACTGTAAGAAGAAAAGAGGAAAACAGTCATGAAAACATACATTCTCCCTTCATGCCCACATTGCAGCTGTTCTGGTGCTTTCCTGTTTGAGGGGGAACCTGCGTTCACCGTCTTTGTCCTTCCGCTCTTTTCCCGCCAGGTCGTGCAGCGGATCAAAGCGGTCGAATCCGAGACCCGTTTACTGGTGGTGGACAAGGAAACCGATGAGCATCTCCGGAGCCTCCAGCTGACCTGCACGGAGGAGATGGTGCACACCGGCATCGTGGCGAACCCCGAAAGGTCTCTGGCCAAACCGCCCAGCACTGACAACGGGGCCGTCTGGAAGCCTCCGGCGGAGCTCGGCAGCCGGAACAACCTCAAAAGGCAGAAGCACAGCTCACGTTCGGAGAGCGAGAGGAAGGTAAGGCTCTTTCGCTGGGCAACTTCATGGCGTTGTCATGAGTGGAGGTCCTGATCCACGGATGAGTGGAGAACCTCGGAGGACTTCCCACGAGGGGGGGTGCCCATGGATTGGTTTGTGTTTCCTGTTCCGGCTTTTCCTTGCTTTCTGCATTCCCAGGTCCTTTCACCCTCACAGGTGCGTTTGGTGGGGCCATGGGAGAGGGCCATCTCTGTGGCTAATCCCAGACTTTGGAACTGTCTGCCACTGGAGGCCAGGCTGCTCCCTCCATCTTGGCTGTCCTTCCGCAAGCAGGTCATTTTGGCTGTCCTTCCACAAGTAGGCAAAGTGCCCTTTCCCTACAGTCAGGCTTTTTAAAAATGGCTGTTTGTACTTGACTGCCTTGAGAAACCCCTTTCGCTTCAGGCAGGCTTTTTAAAATGGCTGTTTGTACTTGACTGCCTTGAATAAGTTTTGGTGTTGCTTTTGTTGATTGTTTTAGGGTGGTCCCCGTTTGATTCTTTTAAAGATATTTCTATCTTTACTCTTTTTTAGCTCTTAAATATTACTTTATATTGATCAAAGCCACTCTGGGTCCTTTTTAAGGAGAAAGGCTGGGTTAAAAAAAAAACCACACGTTCAAATAAATAAATGATAACTGTTGATGAGATTTTGATCGAGACAACTGGTTTCGAGAGCCAAATCTCAGCGCGAGAGTAAAGCATGGCGTTCAGCCCCCTTTTCACCTTCATCCGGTTTCTCCTAAGTTCTGAGAAATGCCTCTTCCGCACCACTAGCACCTTTTCCTTTGGTGTGTGCATTCACACAAAGCAGAAGCTGAGTCATCGAAAAGACTCAAAGAACCCATTCGGTGCTACTGCTTGGAACGAGAGGACACCAGCGGCTGTTTTAAAGTTTCCCAAATGTATGCAAAAGCCAGTCTGTGAAATGGCCCACATCTCTTTGGGACAGACTGCTACTCTTCTGCAATGAGGACTGAAATTCATTTGTTGTCGTGCGGTGATGAACCTGGTCAGGATTTAAATTTCTGCTATAGGGCTGGCAGTCGGTAGCATTCTTGAAGCAGAACGGGACTCTGTATCCTCTCTCCTCTGCGTGCTTAATTTTTTTTGGGGGGGGGGCTTGGAAATATCTCACTCTGTGCAGAACGAGAGAACAGGGTCGGAAAACCACGATGGACCTCTTTGTCTGAAAAGTGGCGTTGTGCATTGGGGGGGGGTAGGCGTGTTGAACACAGAGTGGCAAAAAAGCAGCAAGAAGGCCCGGCTGGAGGCTGTTTGCTGTTGAGCAGGGAATAATCCAGGAACGTCGGGAGGTGGGGAGGGTGGCCGAAGAAGAAGACGTGGTGGTCTTCCCTTCATCCTCGGCAAATGAGGTCAAGAGGTATCGCTGGGGCTCTGTTTACAGCCGCCTGATTGGTGTCAGGAGCAGCTTCTCCAAACGAAAAGAGGCTGAAATCTTAGCCCAGTTAATTCCGACCGCCTGATCTCGGAGAAGGAAGGGGCCTGTTTGGAGTTTGGAGCGTGCAGCCGCGCAGCCGACCAACAAACAAACAAACAAGGCATTCTGCGACAATGTAATCTCGATTCTACACCCCCACGAGAAAAATTATGGGAATTAAGACGATTTGGGTTGGATCTGCTATCGCTCGGTGGAGGGAGCTACGGGGCAGCCCTGGCGTCCCGTCCTTTGCTAGAGTTTTTCCTCTCCTCTGCTCCACCTTGTGGTTTTTTCATATCAGGCGCCACCCATTCATGCCTCTGCAGGGACTAGGAACTTGTTTGGTTGAGATAAAACGAGAGAGTCGAGGGGCGGGAAGCGGGGAAATCTCCAGAAAGCAAGGTCTTTCTGAGAGTTCGAAGTTTCTGTCTTTCGCAGGGCAGGGGTCCGGGCGTAAAAACTGGATGCACCCCACCCGAGGGGAGGAGACGCCCTGGCATGGGGCTGAGTGGCGCCTCCCCTGGCTTGCAAAGATAAGCTCTTGTGACACCCAGCGGAGGCTGTGGGTCAGAGAAGCCGTGGCGTGGGGCACGTGTGTTGGGATCATGCCAGGTCCCTCTCTCTGAGGATCAGAAGTAGCTATGAGGATGGGACGGGAGGAAACAGAACATGGAGGGCACACAGATTATAGGTATTTGGGCTTTGGAGGGCAAGACTAGGTGACGTATGTCATGCTTCCACCCAAGCCCTGCTTGTCAGAATATTTGGCATTTATGCTAACAGGCTGAGCTTCTGGCTTTTAGAAAAGGTTAGCTTCACCAGAAGCTCATGATTAAGGTTAAAAATAGGAAACCGGTGGTGTATTGGTACAGGGAACCCTTTCAGGAGACAGTACAGGAGAAAGAGGCCTGGTCTCGTTTACAGGAAAACCAAAAGGGTGCTGTTCTGTGTTGTTGGTTACGGTAGGATTTTGCCTCTCTCTGGCTGGGAGAAGCAGGAAGTGAGGAAGAAAGAGGCAGAGGCCCCAATCTACAGGTAGATCTAGAGAAGAGCAGAGTCCAAATCCTATTTGAGCGCTCTTGTCTGCCTATTCCCAGCCCACCCGTTCAAGGTCACATCACTTGGCACAGGGGTTAGTGGTCACTCTACGAGTTCCTGCACACGTGCACACACAGACAGAGATGTTATAACTCGCTGATGAGCAAAACACATGCCTTTCTTCCCCATATTTGTTTAAAAATTTGGGGATACCGATGGAGCAGTGGCCGCTGTTTTGGTTGAGGCAGGCTAACAGGATGGCGGTCCCTTCTAAAATCTGATGTCAAGTGCAGATTGACCCTCTGCTTGTTTAACAAGATTCTGTGCCAGTACCTTTCTATCTGTTGTTTTTGTGGGATTCCCCCCCCTTTTTTTTGCAGGCTGTGTGATGTGCTTTCTTAGCCCTGTCTACTCAGAAGTACGCCCTGTAAATTTAAATTCCGGTGCATGGGCCCAAGGCGGAAGCCTCAGCCTGTCAAGAGGTGAAAAGAGGGCGATGCGTTTGATCTGTTGACCACTTTCACAATTCTGTCCGTGCTTTTTATAGTGGACGGATCCCCTTGAGAGGCTAAAATCAGGCCAGCTGAGAGTTTGGGCATGAGAACAGCAATATAGTCCAGTGACTGTCTTGCAAATTTGTTTCCGCTCCTCCTTGGCCTGCCGTGGCTTCGCATTGTGTGGAAACGCACATGCGCAACCCCCCCTCCTCTCCATGTCATCACCAGGTCAGGTTTAGGAAGCTTAAATTACAGGCTGCTTGACAATATAGTCCTGGAGAGAAAACTGGGCATCTTTACTGACTCAGTCCTGTTTTGACCATCGCTCGAATCCTTGTAGATATCATGAGTGTTCGTATTTGTTTTTCGAGAGAAGAGCAAAGTGAATCACTTTAGATTCAGATCACTTTGTAGAAAATAAAAGCCACAAAACCGGCAATTATTTTCGTTAGCCTGAATAACGTTCTGCCTTCATGCGCAAGCTTTCCAGTGCACCGGAGTTCTTTCTCAGGCTGGGTGGTTGAAAAACAGGATGGGGGGAAGCACAGAAAGCTAACAAGTTGTTGAAATATTTTCAGCCATGAGAAATGCGGTTAAAATCAGTCCCCCAAGATGGAGCGGAGAGTGCCGGCTGGATGCCATTCCTGGAGGCATCACAAGTCATCTGGCTGTGTCTGTGATGGACTGCTGGAAATATTTCCCAGGTCCGTTGCCCTCTTGTATGTTCTGCCACCTTGCTTCCCTCCCCTTCCTGTCCCTGGGAGATGATGAGGGAGCAGGAGAGGGGAGGACCAGAGAGAGAAAGGAAAAGAAGCATCCCTTCACCCCATTTTCCTTGGTTTGGGGGTTTGAAATCCAGGGGGACTGGTAGGAACAGGTCTGCGTGGATCAGGAAGCTCTAAGGCAAGCCTTTTTTTGGGTGAGGGCGGTGGTTGCTCCTTGGTGGAGGGCCCCAAGACCACAAATCCAAGGCATTGTGCAATTCCGTCTTGCGAGACTCACACTCACACACATACACACACAAATCTGGAAGTTGCAAAAGATGGAGGGATGTGGCTGATCTCGCCTGGTTTGGGCTGCTGAGTGGGGTCTGGCCTGGCTTGTCGCTGGGAGGGAGATCCCCACCCCATCCCTGGGAATATGAGGCACGATGTTTGGGAAGGTTGTAGCTCAGATGGAAAGCCTCTGTTCTGGGTGCAAATGCTCCCGAGGTTGCGTCTGTGGGAACATCTCCAGGTACGGCCGGGAAAAAGTCTTGGCTGAAGTCGGAGCTCGGAGTGCAGGCCTGGATTGGACCCAAAGCCTTGATCCAGTGTGAGGTGGTTCCCTAGGAGTCTCAGAGGAACTCGTTGCCTTTTGAGAACTGCTGGAAAAGAGCTCAGGAGCTGAGACATCGGGCAGTAGTGCCAGAGACTGGGAGTTCGATTCCCGCCCCCCCCCCAGGGTGCCCCCATGATCCACAGGGTCCCTTCCCACTTTGCAGTTCTGAGATGATAGTGATGATGATTAAAACGCAAGACTCTTCTATTGCTTCCGCCGCCTCAGACGGACCCTCCCTGACAGTCTCCTCTTCTTCTAGCGAAGAGGCGCGATGGACGTGGACCGGAGGCTCTCCCCGGGCATGGTCTCCAGAGCCAATCCTTCTGGCCCTCCCCTCTTCCTTTCCCCGCAGCCCCTCTCGCTTGGGAACGCCGGTGGCCTGATTGTTTTGGACGCGGGGCGTTGGTAGGAAGCCTCTCCTAAGGAGGAAGGTCCCCACCCTGTAGCAGAAACTTCCTTTGGCCGAGGTATTTTTAGTGGAACACAAAGCAAGTGGAAATGAACCAAGGGTAGGAACGAGATTAGCACCAGGATGGGCTGGGCCCGCTCGGCTTTTGTTCCCCGGGGGGGGGGACACACACGAGGGCCTCGGGTTTCGGGACTACTAAAGGAATGGCACATTCCCAGGAGAAAGGGTGTGGGGCCGAGGCGTCTCTGGGCTTGGAGGTCTTTGTCCCAAGCCTTGGAGATGGGACGGAGCTGTCT